TCCCGAGTTGAAAGTTGCGGACAAGTTGCTGCGGACACACACACACAAACACACAGACAATCCCGTGACAATGTGCGTTTTGTACTGCTGTTACACAGCACAAAACGCATAATACAAAACGCCCAATACAGTGTTTGTTCGAACTTACTCGTCTTTTTTGCGCTCTCGAAACGCGCTGGGGCTTCGTATCTTGATTTGGACTTTGATTCTCTGTATCCGCGGACTCCTCAACATTCTTCGATGGTGAAAATGACTGCAGCTCAGCCAGCTCCTAATTGTAACATTAAAATAGTACACAGTAAAATGTGGAAAATGCATTCAATGCAATTATGTAGTAGTAAAATTAGGAGGGAGAAGTAAAATGCAAAAAAAGCATGCGTTATAAATGTGAGCAAAAAGGAGATTTATCGACCTAAACTCATCAAAAACCTTATTTTTCGACCTAAATTCATCAAAAACCTTTTTTCTCCTAAAAAAGAAGAAAAAGATTCAAAAATTCTAGTGAATATCATAAACAGTGAAGCGACGATTAAAGAAAACTTCGAAATGAAATGAAGCACTATCTACTGCGGATATCTTCAACGTTAAAAAAAGCACAGCAATGATAGAGCAGTGGATTTTTGCCGCAAGAATATCGATTGAAAACCGTCCTGGCACGCCAGGCCACTAATTAGAGCAGACGCAAAATGGAAAGATGGCGTATGGTTGAAGAGTTCGATAGAGGGAACGGCCAATTATTGAAAAACTACAGGCAAGGGCCAAGTTCGTCTCGAAAGGCACATCATTATCACAAGTAAAAATGCTGGAGTCCTTGCCATCAAAAAATCCACCGTGATCTTCAAGCCAGTCTATGCATCCATATCATTAGGGGCCAAAAATGACAATTCTCTGAGGTTGCATGATTTTTCTGGTAGTTCACGAAAGCTTCAAAGCCAAAATCGAAGAGAGAAATCGCTGGGAAATATTTATCGGATCCTCTGAACTGAGATCAAAAGGCTTGTGGATTTCGCCAACAACTTAAAACTCCATAGAGTATGCTATTTTTCAATATGCTCATTCGCCCATTTCATTAATAATATGTTCATTTTTCCAATAAATATGCTTAAAATAGAGCCAGTTCTGGCAAGCAGCAAACAGTGCGCTCCGAAATAAAATCGACTAAATCCTCACTAACAAACGTAGCCATTCGTCTGTAACCAGCCATATACAAAGATTCTGACCATCATTTTGCACAGACAAAAATCGGATTTATAAGAATGCTGCAGTATTCTTCTACCACTCACGTACCAAGTTTTTTTGAGCTAGATAATACACGAATCAAAGTACTTCTCGAAGAAAACTAAAGAAGCAAAGTTCAGAAAACGGTTTTTCACTATCAACTACAGACGAAGAGACGAAGCAAGTACTGGTGATGAAGGCATCAGAATAAAGTGAGCTAAGAACCCTGGCTGGTCACTGAAGAAAAATAAGAGACAACAGATGGACAAAACGGATTACAGAGTGATAGATTACAGATGGACAAAACGGATTACAGAGGGCCAATTTTATAACAACACAGGGGTAAAAACTGTAAAAGAAAGATCCTTTTACGTATGCCTAGTTCTCAGATATGGATAGACGAACATTTTGTCGGGAGATTTAATAACTGAAGAATTAGACAAGAAAACCCATCCTGGAACCAATGTTTCATATTCATGTGCCATTCCCGAAATGAAAATTTACCGAATCTAAGCGGGGAACTGGGATGATAGGGTCTCTCACAGAACAGAAGAAATTAAAAATTACCAGCTAATTCAGTGGTAAAGGAACGTGTGTAATAATGAAACAACAGTTTATCAAAGTAAACATGATAATAGCAACGCGCACCAAGCCGGTGCGATCCTGCGTTTTGTGCAATTCATGATGAATGATGAATATCTTTCCGTAATTCCCTAGTTAATAGTTTACCCGCCAAAATTTTCACAAGGCCGTAGGTGATACCCGAGAGTGCGGGAACGCTGAATTTGAACGGGCAAGGTTGAGCGTGGGCAGCGGGTTATTACCCTAGAATTTCAGCCTCCTAGACTCCGCTGTTCCTGAGATATTATATCACTCGTAAAAAACTTTCACGGGGCCATATGTGTTACCCGTGGGTACGAGGAAGTTGAATTTAAATTTGCGAAGTCAGATGTGGGCAGGGGAATTTACCCTAAATTTTCAGGTTTCAAAATTTTGTGGTTCCCGAGTTGAAAGTTGCGGACAAGTTGCTGCGGACACACACACACAAACCCGTAACAATATGTGTTTTGTCCTGCTGTTACACAGCACAAAATGCATAAAAAAAAAAGGGGGGGGGGCATTCCACAGTGGCTCAACTCCAGCTGGCAAGTCTGATCATCGGTTTTTGGCTTCCAGCAGCTGCACAGAAGAAAATTGATCGGAAATTTGACTTTCTGCCATGCCCCAGAACGAATTTACTAATCGTAGAAAAACTGGGTTTTTCACAGGCAGAATTAAATCGCCTCTCTTTTTTAGCCTGCTTGTAGTGTTATTTACCAATATCCAGTTTCTTGTGAATATTTTTTTACATGAAATTGATTGAAAACACACAAATTACCTTTTCATGACGATTTTTCATCTCCTCTTCCAACTTAGTTATTTCGGCTGCTACTTCCCTCTTTCGTTTCTTGTCACATTTCGCTACCGAATGCTTCATACTGGTTATTTTAGCTGAAAAAAATGGCGCATTTCTGATAAATTCTATGCGAACGAAATTTGTCAGAATACAACGCAATGTAGTATTCTGGCAGTGCAGAGGCTAATCCTCAATGCCGTAATGCAAAATCTTGTTGTTTACGGAAGAGTGATTAATCACCAAAACCCACCCGTGGTCACTCCCTGCGACAGGTAAAGGCATTCAGAAATAGCCCAAGAGGTAACACACGTACATAAACAGCAACCATCCGCTGGCAAGGCTTTCAATTACTCCCCTCTTTCAAGAATTGCTCGGAAGAAAACTGATGGCAGTTCGGTTTTCCGGGTATACGTCAGCATCAATTATCCGTTGAAACGAATGAGTGATCTGTAAAAGAATTGACTATCGCACTAGTGGAATCGAACCCTTGACCTTCCGCAAAACGGTTGCGACACTTACTACTGGGCCATGCCCGCCGGCTGTAATTCGGAATACGTACGAAATAAATCAACAATTAACGAAAGTATTGAATGGCGAAGAGGAAAGGGAGCGAAGAAACATATAACTAGGTACAAATATATTATATCGTTTTTATGCTACATCCGTTTCCTCTTCTTCTACCTTACTCATCTACAAATTCTTTCCTTTCCTCAGTTATCTTTTTCAAATATGCCTGCCTAGCGCCTTTTGGGCCTTCATCAGCGGAAAGGAGGAAGATTCCTTTACTTTCGGAGTGGATCCCTCAGACTCCATATAAAATACCATTTTTTTTACTCGGGATCTTGGTCTCGTGTTCAACTGTAGCTAAGTCTTTCCGAATCTCCCATCCTTCGATTCTTTACGCCATCGTCCTCTCTCTCATCAACAGACCCCACGAGGTGTTTGGTATAATTTTTCTTGTCCCCCATCCTTGCTCCCAACCACCTATGGTTAAACCGATTTACTAAAATCACTGATGGCTCATTGCTTTCTTTGTATCTAATAAACGCTTCCCTGCGAGTCTCCGCGCCACAACGACCACCACATCCAACCCACATTTACTACCACACACCACCCTCTTTTGCAGTACATGTGAAATGAGGCCACGGAGTGATGGATTTTTTCAATATATATATATATATTTTACAGTAGCCACTCACTCTTGTGTAATGGATATCACTCTAGTTCATTTCGATAGTAAATTGGTACTGGCATATGCCATCCACTCCAGCACACTGAATTGATCGCACTCATGTACAGACAGAGAGACAATCAAAAAATCAAAATCGTTTTGGTAGTAAATTTATTTAACTCCGCTGATGGAACAACCAATCCCTCTACGATTCGTTCGTTCGTTTCGATGGTAAATATATGTCAGGAGGACAAACCCGCCATCAGCTTGTTTCTAAGCAACTGTTAACAGTTAAGGCATGAAATACACCAACTGCATTCAAAAGTATCTTCTTTCAAATGATACTTTGACTGTTCTCCTTTCTCTGGCTCCATTATTTCAGAAGAATGAACAATAGTTGTCGGGAAGAATCGCGAAAAAAAAAGTATGAATCGATGATTGCCAACATTCTATTGGGGAACGATGCGAAAATATTTGCTGCGTTCCTCATTTAATGCTTTGTTAGTTTTTTGCCAATGTTTAATACTGTGATCAATTTTCTCAGTCGTTTTTACGTTACCTATTGTATCTGAGGTATTTTTCCAAAGCGTGAGAGGTGAAATCCCCTTCACACGAACATGTCAAACACTCAGTTTTATCGCAAACTCAAAAGCGAGTGCATTTTGCACATTTCGCAATCCACTTCCGACATCGCAATCCACTCTTCGCTCCGCCCCCCTTTTCCATGACAAAATTTATCTGGGCGGGGCGATTGCTGGCAGCCGGAGGCCCCGCCCAGTCCTACTGATACCAGCCTCGACTTTCATTCGCGCTCTGAATGCGAGATTGCTGCAGAGGATCACTTATTCTCCTATTTCGACCAAGAATTAGGGACCGGCAACCCGCCAGAGGTTTGTAACTGCTGGGTTAATCTTCCCGATAATAGTTATACAGAAGAAAAGTAGAATATCCTGGAAATGTGGCGAATTTTCGAGTACGAAACCTGACTTTATGTCCCAAAATTTGTTTCCCCGCATTTCCGCTGCAGAATGGGGCGAATTTTTCACAGCAAATACATAAGAAAACATGAAAAAAAAAAGGGAAATACTGTAGAAAGTTACACTGCAATTCCTTGCGTTCCTTGCGATGCGCAGCTTGTAAGGCGCCAATTGGTGATTGTTCCTCCTCTTCCACGTCTGACATTCCTTCGGGCACTGCGTGATAAAAGCGAATACTGAAGTTTGCATAATTTCAATAATTTCAAGTACTCTTGGTATCGGAAAATTCCAGCGTGCAGTGTATTCGGTGTAAACTTTTATCCTCAAAAGTTAGAGTATATTTTTCTCGAAAACACAGGAAGAAGGAAGGTAGAGCAAAGAGAAGCACGGCAAAAATTGCCTAAAAATCAAGTCCACCAAGAAAATGGCACTTTCCTCTTAAGAAAATAATGCTTAAGAAAATAATTAGGAAAACTTAAGCATCTCGAGTACTCGGGTACTTGATGAAAATACTTAAGAAACTTAAGAAATACTTGATAAAACACTTAAGAAACTTAAGAAAACTTAAGCATCTCGAGTGCTCGGATACTTATGAAAATACTTAAGAAACTTAAGAAATACTTGATAAACTTAAGAAAACTTAAGGAGACTCAAGAAAATATTTAAGGAATTTAAGAAAAGATTTTAGTATTTCGAATATCTCCTCGAATACTTAAGAGGAAAATAGTAAGAAAGTGGCAAATAAAATGTTTTCCAGGAAACAGACTGTCACGACCCCCGAAATCCCCGAACACCGCGGTGTGCGGGGATCAATCGATGTCACAGAACTTCCAATTAGTAAGTAAGCTATGACATAAAATAATGCACTTAAAAGTAAATCAGTTGCCCCAGGAGTTTTGGTATTCTGTGACATCAAG